ACATGTTTAATGAAATCAAATTATTGCCACACTTTTCGAGATACGGCCGAAAGACAGGCGCAGCGAAAGGGCTTTGGCTGTTCTGATGAGATGTCGCCTTTCGTGGGTTTCGTATTTGTCGTATATAAACACCGAGTAAACGGAAATACTTATGTTTAATAACGCATTAATCATTTGTTATCCCAAAACCAGTGATAATAAATATGGTGCGAAAATAATAAATCATATCATAAATACCGTAATCGAAGAGATGTCCAGAACAACAATATTAGGGCAATAAGTGCTTAATGTCTGCAGAAATTGTGAGGAAATGTTTTTGCAGTTCTTGAGTGACAACTCGTGCAGATTGTCGCGACAATTGGTGGCAACGGTGTCCAGAACTCGTTCGGCATTCGCTCCGTTCCAACCGCTCAGATTCAGGCCTTTCATGCATAGGAACAGCTGATTCGCGGCCATCATCTCAAAGAATTCGTTCAAATTCACATCAGTTATGGTTTGCAAATCAAGACTATTCCATATCATTGGTGTCCTTATTATGAGTTTACGCCAACTCTCGCACACCTGAGACAGACTTTAAAAGCAAATAAACAGTCAGTTGCATTCAAATTCACATCAGTTATGGTTTGCAAATCAAGACTATTCCATATCATTGGTGTCCTTATTATGAGTTTACGCCAACTCTCGCACACCTGAGACAGACTTTAAAAGCAAACAAACAGTCAGTTGTCTAATAATCACTGTTTATAAAGCAATTAATATACTTAATGATGGATTGCGTCCTATTGTGGTCGTCGACCAAAATGTAATCAAATATTTTAATGAGAATCTCATTGGGAAGGATCTGCTCGAAGTCTGTGTCCACTTTTTTAATCAGACAATTCAACATCCATTTGGTGTGCATTTTATTAATTTTGCGATCATTTTCAACGGTTTCCACTTCTTCTTCAACAGTGTTTTGCTTGTAATCCATTTCCATCCGCTTCTTATCGTTTATACACCTCTTCTGCTGTTTTGCAAAA